TTCAGTTGGCCTTCACGCGTAGGAGATGAAGGTGGAGACACACTAAGAGGATAGGAGGGATCGCCGAGATGATATTGATTGAAAAATGGACTTTTTCGGGTAGGAGAAGATGCTTGCAAAGATGGCGAGAGTTCGGGAGAGCTCGTTGATGACGGTTTGGTCTCCAAGTGGGAGATTGCTAGTTCCGAGAAGTGAACCCAAACCTAGATCAAAATCAACAAAACTGGAAAACTCAACATCGATCAACTGACATGCATGGATCGGTCGACTGAATTGACTGCAGGTTACTGAGAAGGAAAATCCGCTCTGGTCGGTTGATCGAAGCAGTGACACTGGTCGACTGATGTGAAGCCAAGAATAATTACAGGAGTTTCGGGTCAGTCGACCGACGGGCTTGCCCCCGTTGACCGATAACTTGCACGAGAAGCAGATTGTAGGAAAACGTTCTGGTCGGTCAAACGATGCGATGCTATAGGTCAACCGATGTCGGATTTTCCAGATTCCTGACTCGGGTTGGAAACTGTTTTGGGCTGGGATACTACATATACGTTGAACGTTTTAGAGTTTATATGACATACGAAAAAGAGGGTTTTTGAGAGGACTTTGAGAGAGAAATCTCAAAGAGAGAAAAGCCTATTTGCGAGAATTGTAATCTTCTTCAATTAATCAAAACTTTCTGGTGTGGCTCCTGAGGAGGTAGACACGTTTGCCGAACCTCGTTAAATCTGGTGTTTTCTTCTTTTGTTCTTTATTTCCTACAAGTTTTTCTTTTATTTGTTGTGATTTCTTGCTTGCTTACTTTCCACGCAAGATCCAGAAGAGCACGGGTTGTGTGTTCAACCCCAACACATGGGACATATAAGGAGACAGCAAAGCCGACAAACAAACATTTCCCTATAAGGACTTCGAAGCTCGGTTTCGTCACCGTACAAAAAAGGAGGAAAATCAACTATAATCCCGTTCAACCTGAAATATCATTCGAATCAATTCATCCCCTGTAGTTTCTTGTTTTAATTTCCATTATCTTTGAAATCATAAATCGCTTTTGTTCCGTAATTATCTTATCACAGAGAGAAAATAATGGATACATTAAGCGTTACAGAGAAATAACCTTTTGGTTTGTCTGAGATTGCGAAGCTTGCAGTATGTTCTAGACGATGCAGCAGCCATGCGTGATCAGCAGAACCTCCGTGGCTTCCACTGGACCACTTTTCCGAAGAAAACTCGGCATAGTAATACATGATGACATGATCATGTACACCTCGCCAAATAGAAGATTCTACATACTTTAAGATAAATTTTGAGAATGGATAGTACTAAGTAAAAGAAGAGAAACTGTCATACGAGGTTCGCTTGTTTGACGAGGTTCGTCTGTCATACGAGGTTCGCTCGATCGACGAGGTTCGTATGTTATACGAGGTTCGCCTGTTTGATTATGTTCGCTCGTTCGACGAGGTTCGTCTGTCATACGAGGTTCGCTTGTTTGACGACGTTCGTTTGTCAAACGAGGTTCGTCTGATTTGCTGAGACGTGACCCTCGCGTTTCGTAGCAACGCGTCCATTGATTGTCTCGTATTCAGCAGTTACTGCATGCAGCAGTTACAACAGCATTAAGAGCAATTTAATGCATTGATGTTATAATCTTAATTGCCATTAAGAATTGTAACAGTCACATTAATGGCTAATGACTCTTGAGCTGGCCTTAGAGGCCTATAAATAGCGCCCTTGGGCAGCTCTTGGTTGAAGATGGAAACTCTCTCGCGAGCGTGGAATACGAACGTCAGTATAGAATACGAACGTCGGAATACCCACACGAGCTTGGAATACGAACGTCAGATTCACGTTGTTATTGTGCTGTTGCTGCAGAAACTGTGCCCGCGGGAACCCTAAAATCGAAAGGTTTTGAACCATAAGGTTCTGAGATCGATGAGATCTTTTGCCTTGACCGAAAGGTCTTATAGATCGAGGAGATCTTGACAGTACTGGGTTAGTGCACACCAGAGTACTATACTGCTATTTCTGGAAGCAGTTTGGCCTTGAGATCCTTGCACCGGAGTAAGCCAAATATTGCTTTAAGCACAGCGTTTCACAAACCCACAGCAGTTAATTGAAACATTTAAAATAACAACACATCATCCTTCACTGTTCAATTCCAGATTTATTCTCAATTTCCAACATTGTATGGGA